AACAGGAAGCCAGTGCAGAGAAAGCCAAGACAGGAGAAATATGATCTATTTTTCTGGTTCCTGTAAGAACACGTGCTGCAGCATTCTGGATGGAGTGGTGTTTAGGGTCTTCAGTTTGTAGGACAGGCTGCTGTTCTCCGCTAATAGTGGCAATACTGAGAAGAACAACACAAACCACAGTTATATCCCAGACCCTCTCAGGGGTCATCCTGAGGTGATGTAGGAATTGGAAAAAGGCTTTCAACAGGCCTACAGTCACAGTCATCTCCACCCAGGTTCTTGTCCTGCAATGAACCCTGTTAAAGTTCAGTTGGGGACCTGGTTCTGGGTCAGGGTAAGGGGTCACCAGCCTTGGCTGGTAAGAGTAACCCCTGTCCCCCTGCAAAAAGACATCAAACTCTCTTGTAATGTATAGTCCATCCATTAGAGTGCATTGAAGGACAAAAACAAGTGAATGATACTGTGTTTATTTTTAGACTTCTTGTGACGTTGGAGTCTGTTGCTAAGGTAAGACTCACCATATTGAATAGAAAAGAATATACTTTATAGTCCCCTAAGGGAAATTTTTCATGGACTCAAGAGTGCGTAGTAGTAGCTGCCATTAGAAACATAATACACATAAAAAAAAAATATATATATATAGGCTAAAGACACACACGTAGGCTGCATACATACATACATACGTACGTACGTACGTACTGCCCATCCTGAGTATATATTTAAAAAAAATTGTTTTAAAATATTTCAAAAAACAAATAAAAACAAACAATACTAAAACAAGTTATTGCCCACTTCCCCTTCCCTTTGCGTACAGATATAGAACAGATGAGCCTAGGCTAATTTGCCTCCAGATTTGAAATGTTATATGCAGCATCACATACGATAGTTAAAAGACAGACGTTTAACTTTGATGCAGTCTTTAACATTTTGAAACGGTTGTCAATCCAGATGTACCTGCACATTAATGCTGTGAATTGCCTTCCTGTTTGAATACTCAATTTCATTATGTGAGGGAGCCTTGACAGGAATGGGGTTCCAGTTAGTGAACCCAGTGACCTTGGGAAATCCTAAAAGGAAATAAAATGACTAA